GGCGACGGTTGGGCGGCGGGGAGCCCCGGGCGGGCGGTCGAAGGCCGGCGGCCCCAACGGAGGGCCGGCGCCTTTGTGAGGGCTTTAACAATCGGAGCCGGCCCTCCGGAGGGCAGCCGGCGCGGCGGCTTGGAGTGGGGTGGGCAGCGCCTGTGAGGCGGCCGGCGCTCGGCGGGCACTGCCCGCCGGAGTCTTGGTGGAGTTTGCTTTGCTAAACCTCGAAAAACACGGTGTCTTCCCCTCAGTTAATGCTCAGACTGTTTGTCCTCAGTTTTGACAGTTCATCTGACTGACCAGACTGTTCTTTCTCTGCACCTTAGAAAGGCGAAGGGGTCACTGTGTGCTTGGTTTTTCTGTTCGGATGTGTAAGTGGGTCCAAGTATAAACTCTCTAGAAAGCTTTGTGATGCTATCGTAATAACGGAAAAAAAACCCACAAAACCCCAAACAAACACACTAGGTGCAGTACGAATAGTAGAGGGTTTAGATAATACTGCTTTGAAGTTGCTTCAGCTGACTCAAAGTTGCTGTTTGGAGCTACTTTCATAATAAAGGACATCTTATGGCCAGAGCTTAAAATCAGTTCACAGTGACTGAACCTACTAAAAATGTGCTTTTGCTGCCTGACAGTAGTTGAGTGGATTATCTTTTTTTCAAGGTGTGACTGCTAAAGCAACGGGAGTTTTTTTGCAGGGAGGGGAACACAAGAGGACAAAATAATTTTTTTGCTATCAAAGTTACCATTACTAAAGCTAAGTTAGTGTTCTGAAAGGTGAATTCTAAAGCTTAGGTATGGGTGGGTTGTTGTTTGTTTGAGGTTTTTTCACTTCAATGGTGTGTTTCAGATCTTTGAATTGTCCTTAAAACTTTGAAAATTTTGGGTGACTCCATTTCAGCTTGATGTCCTCAGACTGTCTTGTTTGAAATTAATTGTACTCAAAATCCTATTTACAGTAAGTAGGCTGCACAGTCTTAACTGATAAATTTATTCATAATAACAGAAGACAGCACTGCTGTTCTGCTGTGTACAAGAGGAGGTATTAGCTACTATGCAGGAGCCTGGGGAATGTTCTTTCTACCAGTCCAAATTTTGAATTCGAAAAAGATCATGCCACAGATTGTTCTCATCCGTGGTGTTGGTTGGACTTAGGTTTTGTGGGGTCTCCCCCAAATCTGAGACTATGTGAGGTTTATGTATGCTTAACTAAATGGCTGAGGGCACACTGTAATCGGTGTCAGTACAACATCAATCAGATCAGACTAAATCAGTCTTTAAACACATGCATGCAGCAAATGTTGACACATGCACGCCCCATTCCTTTTCCTGAGGTTGCTACCTTCAGCTAGCTGTTAGTGCCCTTCTCCAGGAGGCACCTGCAGGAGATCTGGCAGCACTGGAACATGCAAACACTTCAGTACAAAGTCTGATTGCTCAGCCTGAGCTGTAGCAGGAGGGGCCTGAGTTAAGCTATTGGACTTTGTATTGAAGCAGCTGAGGAGCACTCACATATCCTTGCTGTTTCCCTGCTGGGAGGCACAACCTTTGCATTAGAGGTAATACAACAGAAATGGTAAAAGCGAAACTCTTTTGGTTTCTAGCTGGTTGCCCAACTGAAAGATGTTAAATTTTAAATTATTATACTAATGCTGTGCAGAACCATATTATTTCTTAGTTCTTGTGTAATACAGCATACAGATTTTGTTCTGTGAAAAGGGGTGCTGAAACAACAGGAGCAGAAGGAAGAGGGAGAAATTATTTGAAAAATCCATTATAAATTTGAGAATATCAGCTGTATTAATCTGATACCAATTCAAGATAAATGATGGTTTTAATAAAATTACATGCTGCTGTTCATCTAGGAGCTGAAGCTGCCCTCCTACAAAGGCCAATCTCCCCAGTTACATCTGAGAAGATACTTTGCAGATCTGATTGCCATTGTGAGCAATCGGTTCAGACTCTGTCCTGCTGCACGACATCTAGCTGTGTATCTGCTGGACCTCTTTATGGATCGTTATGACATATCTATACAGCAGCTGCATGTGGTTGCTCTTTCCTGTTTACTTTTAGCAAGTAAGTATGTAGCACCAAACTTTACAAGGCACCTCTTGATGGGATATGGCAGATAGGGGAAACAAAGTGGTTATAAAAGACAGGCACATTAGCATATGTCAATTTGACCCAATTGGTAGAGTCTCTCCTTAGACTCTTGTTTTGAATTCTGTTGGCACCTAATGAAACTGATGGGAGAAAAGACAATCTGAGGAAAAAGTAATATTTATGCTTGGAAACAAATTATTTTAAGGTGAACTTTTGAGGTGTATTGTAGGAAAACTGTCTTTCTGAGAACATCTCAAAATAGGTAGATCCAGTCCTGAAAATGAGGAATTTGCATAGCTGTGATAAAGGAAGGAATTAAACCATATGTAAACTGCACTGCACCCTGCTGATGGTGCTGTGTGGTTCTGGAATACTTCAGATTTCATAAATTGCAGTGTTCATTAAGCAAGCTAAGGTTAACATCAATCCTGTATTGTCACATACAAAATGTAATACTGGTGAAATACATTGAATGCACAGTACTCTGAAGACAAACTTGGTTACAAATGCTCATTGTGAACAGTGCTGTTTATATTGACCTCAGCTAGATTCTTGTGGTGTGTATCCATCTTCTGACATTTGTGGACCCCTTTTAGATGTCCCCAAAGAAATATGAATGCAGTTTGTTGGGATACCTGCTGGCACTTGTTCTTAAACCAGTATATTCAGAGAAACAGGTCCTGGTAGCAGAACTAACTGTTAGTTCAGTTTCTGTTGGTCTGTTTCTCCGAGTCTGTTTTCATTTTCTCAGATAAGATAGATTGCGTTGTAGCTCTAGGCCCTCTTTGCTAGAAAACCAGAGCACTGAGGTGTTGGCCATTTTTGGTATACTGCTTCCCCTGTCTCCACCAATACAGCTATTCAGCAGAACAGTTAAACAAGAGAAGGGTTATTTCAGATTCTTCTGAAATACTCTGACTGGATGTCACCAGCCAGCAATCTTCTCTTGGCAAAGGATGAGGTGCTGAGTATGAAAACCTTGCCTCAGAAACCAGTGTAATCCATTTAGGAAAATGGATTGGCTTTGAACTAATGCCAGATTTTCAAATTAAATTCTTGTTCTGAAGAGAATTATTTAAAAAAAAAAAAATCACCTCTGCCATCTTTCATGGCTAGCTGCAAGTAGAACTCTGAAAGCCTGGAGTACTTGCTTTTCTGAGAAGCAGTGCATGAATTGGTTCAGAAAGCACAAACCAGAATGCTGTTTTAAACTTTTGCCCTGTGTGGCTTAAACAAGCAGTTTAATCAGTGGTGGACAAGTTGGACAAATCACACTGTGATATATCTGATAAGGTTATAGAAGTAATAAGAGAAATTATTATGTGACTCCTGAAGCTTTTATTTCTGCAACTAGAGTATGGGAAACAAAAACTTAATCCAACACCAGTCCCAGTCTGTAAGTCCTGTATAAGTACCTCCACTGTTGAAAAAAGCAAACATTCAGTATGTTCAGTTGTGCAAAACTCTAAAAATGTGCATTTACAACATATCATGTAGTACTGAATAGAGAGTGTAAGACGGAAAGAATTTGCAATGAAATTGAAATAGCACAACCATATGGCAAACTGTATGGAAATGTGACACTTGTTTCTCTTATTAATGGATTTTCTACATACACAATTTTGCTTCAGGCTAAAAACATACAGGCCTGACAAGTTAAAAGTGCAAGGAAGGCTGAAGCTGCTAGCAGTGTTAAAGTTGAAACAGTATGTAGGGCACTGTGGATTTTCAGCTGTGCATTGCCAAAATCCACGTGTTTGAACTGCTGGAGCAGCTTTCCAGCTATCAAATCCAAAAACTATACCTACCTTAACAGTCACTGAAAGCAGCCACATTGGCTACAGCTCTAGCTACACTCTAATGAGTTTTAGAAACAAAAAGGGGGTGTGGGGGTGGGAGTGTGATTAAAGCCAAATGCTGTGGTGTTGTGTGTGCCAAGTTACATCACAGTGGTATTCTGCTGCTGATGGAGACACATTATACAATAATTTAGTGTCAAAAACTTCCATATGCAGTGCCAATGATGTCCTAATACAGCTTCTGCTCCTGGCAACAGGCCTCTTGAGGGATGGGATGGGAGAACCAACAGGAAACAACACTGAACAATATTCTCACAGTGTTTGACATTATCTGCTAAAATTTAGTCCTTTATAGTACTTACCCCTTTTTGTTTGTGATGACATCTTCCATGTGAGCTTGAAAGTCTCAAGCTTGTTTGACACAGTAGAACTGAAATATGACCAACACAGACATTAGATACAATGTTTTATAGTTCACTTGTGCTGAACCTTTTTTTCCCTCCTCTTTCTGTTCACCTGAAGGTAAATTTGAAGAAAAGGAAGACAGTGTTCCCAAACTTGAACAGTTGAACAGCTTGGGTTGTATGACTAACATGAATTTGGTACTAACAAAACAGAATTTACTTCATATGGAGTTGTTGTTGCTAGAAACATTTCAGTGGAATTTGTGCCTCCCAACTGCTGCCCATTTCATCGACTATTATCTTTCTATTGCTGTCCATGAGACTGATCTTCATGATGGCTGGCCAATGGTTTGCTTAGAGAAGACTAAGTTATATATGGCAAAATATGCTGATTACTTTCTGGAAGTATCACTACAAGGTGAGTTACATATTTCAGGTAATGACTCCCTTGTTGTCTTGACAGAAAATGTCAAACTTAAATGAATCTTTTCCTTATTCCTTCTTTCTAGATCATGCATTTTTAAATTATGCCCCTTCTTTAGTTGCTACTGCATGTGTAGCTTCTTCAAGGATTATCTTGCGTCTCTCACCAACATGGCCTACCCGACTGCATCATCTTACTGCATACTCCTGGGACTTCCTAGTGCCATGTATTGAGCGACTATTAATGTAAGTTAACAGCAGAGTTTTTTAAAGCCCTTTTCTGCATCTGTTGGTATGCTTAGTTGCTGTTAGCACTGAAAATAAATTTATTTCTGAATTTCAGTTTTGCTATTCTAAACATAGTTAGATATTAGGTAATATTGTTAGGTAATAACTGGTTTGTTCTTTCCAAAAAAGAAAACCTGATCAGATATAACCTTTTTCCTGTTCTTTCAACAAACAAACCTCAGCCTTGCATTTCCACTGATTATCTTCTGGCATGCTTTGTGAATCTGTTCAATAGCTTGTTCTCAGTCTCTGTAGTCTGCTCAGAGAGCAAAAAGAGGTAGTGAAGAGTATTGAAGATATCAGAGCTCCTACTTACTCTGAAGACTCTGTGCCTTGGAAGTTCAAGGGATGCTCCAAACAGATGATGGATCAAACATGCAAACTAAGTGGCTAGCTTTGGGGGGAGGAAAAGACTAGGAGGTTATATCTATTTTTGCTGTATCCATTTTTGCACTATAGTGGAAAGATACAGATGACATGAGATGAAAATGCCAACGAATGCAGAGTGAACCTTACTGGGAAGGGATGTTACACAACCAGTTCTTTTATTCTAATCCTTAAAATCAAAATCTATGCCCACCATAACTGCTTTCTTCCTACAGAAGTTTGCTCATGCCCAGATCTAAATACAGTTGTGCTCTATAGAGGCACAGGAACAGCTGTATCTGGAAGAACCACATCTTCCTTACAAGTGTGACATTATCACCCCGATGGCCTCTTTTGGCTTCACTAATGTGTGTAATGAAAGGAATAGTACCTAAAGCATGTAAGTGCTATTGCACAAGTGTTTTCAGTATTGCTCTGTAACACTTTGGGGGAGTGGGGGGTATGTGTGAATCCTTTCAGTAACTTTTGCAGTGCACCTTTTAGGAAAAACTGGTTAAGGGTTGAACCCCAACTGTCTTGAAGACATCTGCCCTGTATAGGCAGTACCAAAAAACTTGGATGATTTTAAGCCTGACTGAAGTGGGTAGGTGGCACCTGCTTAACCTCAGCATAAGAGCAAGAGTATGTCTAAATACATTTCAGGCAGGTGTAAATCAAAGGGAATTCAGGTGAGGTAAACTAAGGTGGGCTAGTAAAAAGGTGAGAGAAAAAAAAAATTGAAAATGCATTTCCGCTCTCCAGAACAGGACCCAGTATCAGTATACATATGATCTTTAAGTACTGTAATGTAGATCTTTAAAAACTGTCTGATATCTTGTCTTTAAAAACTGTATACACTTGTTACCCAAGTTAAATGAGGTAGAAGCAGCAAGTAAGTTTTCATTTCAGCTTCTGGTAATCTGGCACTTTATAGCAGTATGCTAGCAGATTTTATTGCACTGGTAATTTTAGATACTGTTCTATTGTTTGTATTGTACTTGGCTTTTATCTGCATTTTGTATTGCTATGCAATGAGTGAAATGCTGAAAAGAAACTGTATCCTAAAGAAACAAATTTTAAAACCTTAAATGATTTTAAAGGGTAGGCTAAAATTTTTTTTTTAAAAAAAAAAAAAAGTGCTTTGGAAGCTTTCAGACAGTTGCACCGTTTCTTAGAATGATCTTAAAAGTTTACCCAAAAGAGTTTAAATCATTTTAATATTCATTCTCTTGTATTCTGTCTTCTCAATTTGTTTTAGTGCGCATGATAATGATGTGAAGGAAGCAAACAAGCAAAAAGGACAACATGCTCAGTCTGCCCAACATACTGTATTTCAGACCCCAGCTCCAACTCCCCAGCAGGCTAATGCTCAACAGCACATACCACAGTATCTCCAAGCTCATCAGTCTTCATTACAGTATCACCATCAGACATCACAGCAGCAAAACTGCCAACAGATATTATCATCTACTCATACGGCATCTTACCAACTTCAGACTTGCCCTGCTGCCTTACAGTCAAGCGTTCAGGCTCGAGGCCATGCACAGACTGGTGCTGCAATGTCACTAGCTGTTCCGCTAGAAGTGAAGCCATGTATAAGTGTCTCCTACAACCGGAGTTACCAAGTGAATGGACGATATTCCTGCGTCACTTCCTGCTTTGAGAGGTGATAAGTACAAAATGGCTTTGTGCTTGTTTGTTTGGAGGGGGAAGTTGTGTTGAGGGCAATTGTTTTGTTTTTTTGTTAAACCTCAAGTAAGTTTGAGGGCAACAAATTGAATAAAAAAAAAAGTGTCTTTCCAGAAAAAAGCAACTGGATTGGCAACCAGTACCATAGCTCAAATACGGACTGCAAAAAATAAGCACACAGAACACCCTCTAAAAACAATGTGTATACCTGTGGGTAATAAGTCCTTACTTTGGCACTCAGAATACTCTGTGCTTCTAATGCACATCTTTAAAATACTAGTCAAAAGAAAAATAGCTGTGGACTAACTACAGACTTGCCTTTTAATGAAGGAGATATGCAGTATTATTTTGAAGACATTTATGTAATACCACCATACAGTATTAACACTTACTTTAAATTTACTGAAACAAGAATCCACTGAATGCCAGACTTCTCCAGGTGCATGGGGACCACAGGAAAAAACAAATCTCATCTGGCTAACTCTTATACTCTTGCCCCATTTTCAGCACTCGTGTTGGATATTTGCTTTAAGCCAAGGCATTTGAGTTAACTGGTATTTTGGCTAGTTTTAAATTTTTGTACCTCACAGGATAGACGCTATGTTTTTGCTTCTCTTCTCCTCCCTATCCTTTTTATGTTTAAAGTAACTCTTTCATACTAACTCAGGGAATTGTCTACTCATACTTTGTGCTGCTGGTTTGTACACTTAATTGGGTATAACTTGAGGGAGGGAGGTAGAAAGGGAGGAGACTATAGCAAGTGGAGCAGCTTTTCTTCAGGGCATCTATCTATATGCAGAGTACCAAAGGGATATGTTAGTGTTCACAGAATATAGATGTGAACTACTACCCAGCAGTGTGGTATTGAGTAATTGAGAGGGAGTTTCAGCTGAACTTGTACTGTACCAGAACTACTACAGTGGCTGTGATTCCTCTTTTGTACATACACATGTGTATTATTAACCAACAGAAAGCATCCTCCAATTGTACTGACAGTAACAGTATCACACACACAAAAAAAAAAAGAGTACAGTTAAATGCTTCTAGAAATGCAGTTCTGTCAGGCTTAGTGGAGGGAAATTCTCAGGTAATAGTGGGGCAACTTCTTCTATTTGAGAGTTCTAGAAGAAAATGTGGAGGTTTACTCTTATAAAGGGGTAGACAAAAATATATTGCAGAGTGAACTGCTTTATCACAATTAAGGTGCTAATTACATGACTCTATGGAATTACACTATCTCCTGTGGAGTTGTCTGAAGGTAAAGCTTCATTCATCCAACTCTTAAATGAAAATGGTGGTAGAGATATTAATGGAAGATTTTTTTCTTTTTTTTTTAAATACAAGAAAATACCTGACTTCCTCCTGTGGCACAATAGGGGAAGAAGAGGTATGGATGACAGGATTCTTAATACTTTAGAATATCTTTATTTTCTGTGGACTCAAGGCTTTTTTGTTCTTTTACCACCTTCTCCCCTGTCTTAGTGGCAGCACTTAAAATTGTGTACCATCTAAGGACACTGAAGTATTGTGAATCTTGCAGAGTGTTTTGAAGGCAGGGGAAATTATATATTATCAATATTAAGATGAAGGCTTTATTGCAGGAGACAGGGTCTTACCCTTACGTTCAGAATGGAGGGAGGACAGCAGTGTTCTTTATTTCTGGGGCTGAATTGATGACATGCTACAAAAACCTATTTACTGTTGAGGAGAAGAAATCCTGTTTCTCTTGTTTTTTTGCGTAAGTCCCAATTTTTGTTGTGGGCTTTTGTAGCATATATGTGCAAGTCAAGAGGGATAGAAGGGTGAATGAAAGAGATAACCCTCTCTACTTTATGCTAGAGAATCAACTTTGAAATAGGCATAGTGTGGTCAATTCTTAATTAAAGTGCAAGTTGGTTTGGTTTGGGTTTGGTTTTTTTTTTTCATCTCTTAATGAGTATTTCCCCATGTCTGAGAGTAGTGTTAAGTAGAGACTTTCCACCTCCTAAGATGCCATGCTTTTTATTCAGCATTGTTACCCATTTAAGACAGAAGTGGACTTCTTTCTGCTAGTTTCATTTGTTTGCAACACTATATCCAGGTCCTCAGTGCTCTAACTACCTCTGATACTATGAATGTACAGTCTTCTAATAGGCCATGACTTGAAATAACAGCAGATGCCTGTAGCAATTTTTTCTGTAAAATCTTTAAATCATCTAATTTGTCATCTTTGTGACACAGCAGTATAGACTTTTTTGGGGTATTAGTAAACTTATCCCATAGGCATTTGATATATAAAAATTTAACTAATACTTAACACTGGAATTATAATGGGCGGGGGGCTTATTCAGTTAGTTAATACTGCAAAATTACATTTAATAGGGTATTTTTATTTGACTATTTTAAGACATTAGGTCAACTGTAAAAAGATCCACTACATGCTGTTTGTTTCTAATTTATTACCTAGTCTGAGTTTTTTCTGACACTACAGCTGCATAATGACTACAGAGAAAAAGTACACTGAATAGTTTCAATGTTATTTAAAAGGGCTTTACCAGTGTACCTTAACAATACACTGTTCTTACTATTAGAACCAAAATGTGATTTTTATGGCATAAATAAGAGTGGTGCTTCTAAATGCAAAATGTCCAAAACAATGGAATCTTTGTGAGTGCTATGCATTCAACTTATTTTTAAAAATAAAACTAGTTTTGAGTAAGAAGGCTCCAGTGTGTATTATGCATTTGTGCGTGTGGTGGTTTTTAAATATGTTAACTGACCCTAATCTGTCTTCCATCATCCCTGTGTATGGGCTGAAGATGTAAGATCTTTCTTTCTCCACCCCTTCCTTTCTGTGACACTATTATAAGTTTCAGGAACACTGACTTCACAAAGGAGGGGAGGGAAAAAAAAAAAGGAAATCATGCAGGAAGGGGCTTTAAAACTAACTGCACCCATAGCATATGCTAAACATTGTACACCAACACTGTGTTTAGGGCACAGCTGTAACAAAGAAATCAAGAACAAAAGAACTGTAGTAGTTCAAGAGCCCCAGCATGAATTCATTTGTTTTTTTTAAAAAAAAAAAGTGATACTGGCAATCTCATACTTCTAATACTAGAAATCATTTAGTAGACATGGGAATAGCCTTTTGTCAAGAGCTTGTGCTTAGGTTATTTACAGTAGCTGTGAAGGCTCAATCATGCTGTGGGCAGCATAAAATCACATGCTGCATCCTAGCAGAAATATTTTCAGATGCTTACAATTTCTGGTGACTGCTCCTCACTAAAAGAAATTCCAGTTCTTCCCAATAATGTGCAATTTAACATCTGTAACAAGGCTATGTGATTATGGTTACAGCTCTAAAAGTTATGTATGTTGCATATAATTTAATTCTTCTAAAGTTAGAAATTTTAACTGTGAGGTCTGTTAGCTTACACCCATCCATTTAGGTATAAACTCTTGATTGTGAAAACCCTTCTAGAGGACCTAGACACAGAGGGAGAGCAAGCTCTACTCTGTCCCACTGAGGAACACAGGCAATGCTCCAGTATGATGGTGGTACACATATTACAGGGATACTTTTATCTGGAAAGTTTTGTCCTCACCCTTAGGGCAGCAAACAGTCTATCTAGGCTGTGTCCTTGAAATCTCCAATTTCTGTCTTTTTTACTGTTACTACAAAATAGGAACTACCCCTGACCTTTGAGTCTCTAACAACTACAAGGACTGGCAGCTACTTTTCACTTCAATAGCTCAGTAGAAGTCTCAACTTCAGATTTAAAAGTGCAAGTCTGAGGCTTTTTGTGTTTGCACGTAACAAGAAAAGTTTTATCTCTGCTTCCTATGACCCAAGTTCATTATCATAGGAAGATACTTATATTCTTCCTGCACTGCAAATTTAGCTGAAAATATTAAAGTTAACATTTTAGTGACTGGCACATCACCACAAATAAAGTTTTTTTTGTAACTGTAATACTTCTGTTAAGAATATATAAGCCAGACAGTAATGCAGCATTCTCCTTTAATAATTTATCAGCTCTACATTCTGAATGTTCACAGGAACAAAGTCTCTTGAGTAGATAAGGCCTTATCTGACTGAACACAAGTGTCTAGTCTTACCTGATTACAATGTTGTCAAAAGCAATTTTTTTAAAACACTAAGTGGAAATTACAAAATACACACTTATTTTTAGTCCCCATTACAATGATGTTTTATGGCACAAGCACATACATTTCTGACATTTATATTACACATTTTTGCTCCTTTCTTGTAATTAATGTAATAAACCCCTATGACTTCAATACACAAGACATGCATTCTGACAAAGGAAAGCATTTGCTACTAAACATTCAAAAAAACCTCCCAAAAATCCAACCTATGACTGAATAATTAAAGAGTAACTATATAGAAAGTAACTCCTGGTTTTAAAAATTCTCAGTGCAATGAACAATGTGGGCTTCTGCTGCCAGTCCCACCAAAAGGCGGCAGTAGACTTAAGGAAGACTTACAGGTGTTAAAACTGCAAACATGAGATTCAGTATATAATGTTCATACTCATCAATGCAAGTCAGTTAAACTGTTATCATACCTATGAGCTGGAACCTGCATTATAAAGCTGTTTAGAAATACTACTTGCTTCTCTTTGGACATGTGAATTTACTAACCTGAAACAAGAGATGACATCCGCAGAACAACCCATTAAACCTCTTTTTTAAAAGAAAGTATGTATTTTCCATATTCTGTGGATTATTTAAAAGACCACTGTAAGACTATGTATTCTGTAAGATTTTCTTCATGCTAATCAGTTATTTATTACTAGGAGATTTACAGCCCTAAGAATGCCCACTTACAGTTTATTCCACAGATATAACATATAGTTAGAATCTTCCTATAACAACATGGCACACTGGCTTATTTCTTGTGGTACTGAAAAGATGTGTTACAGTCTTGCTACTTTTTGCAGCCAAAAAGATTAATTTCCTAGTTTTCATTCCTTATCTAGATGATTGTTGTAGGTCCCTTCCAACTGAAATATTCTAGTCATCTTATCTTATTCCATGAGAGGTAAGCAACAGTAACTTTGTTTTAAACATCGTAATTTAACTAAAGGATACTTATTCATGACTGATCAAATAAATTAAGTAGACCCACAAAACCAAAATATTTGGATATGGATGAAAATACACATCAAGACAAAATTCTTTGTTGGGAATTTCTGAAAAAACTAGTGCTGGTTTGATATACACCTTCAATTACTAACTGCAAAATGCAGTTATGGCATCCGGATATGGTATCTGGTAAGGGAAAAAAAAAAAAATTACAGCTGTAACTGCAACTTGGAAGGATTACTTAAGAGAAAAAAAAATTGTTCATAACTTTATCAATAAATGTTTTCTATTTAAAATCTTTTCATGTATAAAACATGCTCTACTATATGTGAAATGCTTGTAGTTTAAATTAAGCATTTTACAATTACCTTTTATGAACTCAATCTGGTAACCAAGCTCTCGTATAGGATTATTTTCTCCTTCAACACTTTTTTCTACACATCTTCAGATATCTAGGTATTTTTATCATATTTAAGAAAACAAATGTATGTAAAGCGTTAGACTTTTTCAGAAAATTAAAATAGACAATTAATTAGAAGTAACAAAGTCATTGTATGTGTATTGACACATTGGCACAGTTATACTATGGATGTTTAATACTTGAGCCCATCAGACTGGGTACTTCTAAACCTTACCCTCCTTTCAGTTTGACCTACAGGTTTATTAATGGGACTCCACAGCAGAAGTGCAGATGATGCATCTGCCAGCACAACATTGTGGAAAGGTTTTGCCAAATGGTGTTCTGCTTTACCCTTTTCTACAGAGGTCAACTATACACACATGTGCATTCCAACCACCTATCAACTATGTTACTCCGAGAAGAGTTTTCTAGTCAGTTTGTTTGTTTTTGAAACACTGACAACAGTAATGCTTTGCTAAGTGTTGCAATATGTTTAGATGCATAGATGTTGCAGGAGGGTAAATGGCACTCCAGATGGCATCACTGCAGATCTCCAGAGATGGAAAAATTCTTCAGAAATGCCACAGAAACTGAGTTTCCAGAGAAAGTGCTGTTATTTTGGAGAGCAGTTCTATGCTTCTGGCCTTGCATTGTATCTTGTTGCTCATATCTTAGTGCATGTTCACTGTGGCACAATAAGGACAATCTCCAAGGACTTGGATATTCCATACCCTTCTAGCAGAGATTATGAATACCCAGAAGACTATCTTCATTGACAGATGAAGGAGTGGGTGTGTATCCATGCATCTAAAAGTGCTGAATGACAGATGTGAAAATGGATAAGATCCTACTGGGAAACAGGTTCTCTACTACCAGAAGAGTCCCTATCAGACTTCCTATACCCAGGTTCAGATTATGTGCTCCAAATGGATCCTCCCTCCACACAGTAATGGCTGTAAATCTGTTTTGAGAATTTCTTGTAAAGTCTCCTAAGAATTAGGAGAACTAATTGTTAAAAAGGTAGCAAGCATGCAGCACATACCACCTAGAAGACACCACAACAGCTAAAACAATAATTTTCTCCACTTCCTTGATCAATTAGACTGTGAGAGCACAAAAGTAGCGTGGAAGCACTTCCATCACCATGCTCTCTAAGTATGCTGCCTGTTTTGTTTCCAGAAGCTAGTCCCTGTTTATATATATTCCTGTTTATACTTATGTTAGTACGTGCATTTTTTTTTATATTTAACAGGAAACTATTCTGCCTCCCTGCTGATTTAATTCCATATTCTTACATTCTCCCCATTGACAAAGCAGGCAGCATTCTGGAGGGGATAAAAATGTATCAAGCTACCTGTAACGTAATCCCTTGCAATACATATCTATTAAGAGATTCCAAGAGTGTTAGTGCAAATGCCATTTTTTGCCCTGTATCAACATAAAGTATCAGCAATGATGTATACTTCAGTGGAAAAGAAGCTTCCTTCCATACTTGCACTAAGACTACAGAACAGATTTAAAGCAATGTTTTCTTCTGAAACCTTTTACAAATGGTTCTCTTCACTTTGAAAAACAGTACAGGACATCTCTGAATAGAGACTCTTTCATATGTCAAAAGAATAATTATAGCACAAATTACAGCTCTCGAATACTACTGTATGTTAAAAAAATAGGATTAAAGGCACCAACTCACATACAACTGACTAGTGACTGTACTGGCAGACTGAAAAAGTTGGTATTGCTTAAAGAAGAATCTAAAAAGCAAACAGTAGAGGGGTGCAAACTAATAGGACAGACAGGATAAAATCGGTGTTCTTATTCATCCCTCCATCACTTAATGAAAGAAAAACAAGGAACATTTAGTGGAACTGAAAGGCAATATATTTAAATACAAAATCAACTAGAACAAATTATCACAGCTTTCAATGAGGGCAAGAGCTTTAGCAGGATTTTCAAGAGATTAGCATTTACATAGCTGATTAAATCATTCAGGATTTAAGCCAAATACTAATGGAGGTAAGGAAGAAATATCTCTTAATGCAAATTAGTCAATAAGTGTCTATGACAGGATTTCTTACACCTTCCACTTAGCAGATCTGACTAAATGCAGAAAACAGAGGACTTTCCTAGACTTGATACAGTAAAGCAGTTACTTTTCAATAAATCTTTGTGCTATAATATATTGTCTATTTGATTCTGCTAAGCATTTTATATGCTGTATGCTTTTCTTAGGCACAGAAGTAAAAATGTGCGAACTTTTATTGAAGACTTGCTTCTAAAACAGACATTCCCAAAAGCACCCATGCTTTTTTCCCCAAAATACTGAAAATATTTACAAGAGTACTGCATGTTGTTCTTGTTTCCCACAGCCAAACTGATGCAATACATATGCAAAAGTGTAAACTGTTTACCAGAAATTCTGTCCCCTCTCTGTAATATTTTCTCTCTCCTAGGTACAAAAATATGTGTGTTTTTAGGAGAATCCTTTTCTTCTTCTGCCCCACACATTTCCTCTAGAGCTCTCTGAGGAAAGAGATGCCAGGGTTTGCATAACTCATCTTGAAAGGTCTCCTGGAGCTGTATTATTAATGGTTATTTCCATACACAGATTTGCCTATCAGCAAATCATGTCATTTGCATTTAGCTAGCAATTAAAGATTTTACTTTTTTCCTTTCTGTAAAGCAAATAATTATTCTCCGAAAATGTAAATGAATTTGCAACAGATTGTTTCAGTAATCTCCCACCTCATTTATTATTTATTATGCAATTTTTACTTCTGATATCCCCTAAATATTAAGATAATTTTTATCCAGTGTTTCATCCATGAGGTATTAAAGATACCAGTCAAGAAAAAAGGAACTACAAAAATAAAAATGTATGTAAATAGAGTATGCACATAATAAATAATACTGAATGAACCACAATACATACTATTTTAAAACTATGTATAGGAATTACGACAAAAATTACACTCTACTGGATTAACTTCCATAGCCACTACCAGCAAGTTATCAATTACAGTGTTAAAGTGTGAGTCAAAGACTAATTCCACAAGTTCTCTTTTTTTTTTAAACTGGATGCTAAAAAATAAATTCATACTTCTTTGAGTTAGAATAAACATCCAATAGCTCTTGTGGCAGATTCAGCACCTTTAACACAATTCATTACTTAAACTCTTCTTCCTTGGTTGTTAAAACCACAAGTTATTATTTCTTCTGTTTGGAAATTGTGCTTTAGGTTTCTTTTAAAAATACCTGCTCTTTGAAGAACTGTTTATTTTTAGTGTCCTATAAACTAAAACATACAAATTACTTTGATTTGTAATTTCAAAGCCTGACTACAAACAAAAATCATGTAGGTAAATACCACCATGTGCTCCAAGGCATTAATCCATCCTATTTTGCAATTCTTAATGAATAAACATACCTACTAATATGATAATCAATTTAAATTATTTTTAACTATTGTCAGTGGATGATAGCTGAGGTTTGATTGTTACAACAATGGTTAAAAATTGTCTTATCTTTAAAATTTTGTCCATCACACACTTCTGTAGTAAATAGCTGTCTTATTCAAGGTGTATCCAAGTAAAACCTGTGCTATAATCACATGGAAGTATTTCTGCTCACAGGTCTGCATTACATAAAATTACTTTAATACAGTATAAGAGATGGTATTGAAGATATTATCATATCTAATGATATCGTATCTAATTATCATATTTAAGGTATATCATATGACATAAAAGGAAATAATAATTGTTTATATCTTCCTCAAAGGATTCCACTAAGTTCTCGAAAAGGACACCAACACTTGAAGAGAAAAACAGTAGTGGATTTCTCCCAGGACACATTCTCTGTCAAATTCTCTTAAGAAACAAGTCTTTTGCTAGCCTTCTAGTCTCAGAGAAGAGAAATCTTGTAATGATGCACTTAAACATTAAAATCTAAGGATCTTTTAAAATGAAATAGACTTTGTAGTGTCAAGTTTACAGTTGGACTTGATGATCTTAAGGCTCTTTTCTAACCTAAATGATTCTGTGACTCTATTCTATGATGTTAAGATCTTCAATAGTCTGCAATTCACTTTCCACAATTCTATTCAAACTGATAAAGGTAATTTAAATAAAAGGAAACTGTAAAATAGCTGATTAAAAATTTTATTGCCAACAGCTATATTCTAAATATTCCTTAATTCACTCTTTTCTCTCAAACTTCCTACTGTGTATGTTCTCATGATAGGCATCAGCTATAGCTGAATGCAGAGTCTAGAGCTTGAACAAGATAATCCAAATATTGTGACTGAACTTCCTATTCTCTGCTCTGTATTACTCAGACTTCATTTCAGTTTCTCCTTCAGGGTAACAACCTAACCCAGGTTGCTGTCAAGACAGAAAGCATCAAGACAAAAGTCTTGACAAGGGGTCTAGAGCTCAAAGAGAAAAAAGATCAAAACTTTAAAATATTATAGAAGCAGAGATGTCAGGTTCTGGTTTCACAGGTAAAGCAGCCCTTTTCTTTAAACATACTAATGTTTTTCTGCCATCTGCTGACCTTTCAGGTCCCTCTGTTACCTAGCAGTTTACTCATAAGATATTCAATGGATGAGTAGGCAACTCATCTAGCTGCTTCTTCTGCCATCTGCACATGCAATTACACATCTTTGAAGTTACTAGAATTTTAAAAATCCAGAGCTCTTCAAGTAAGCATCCAATGAATAGCCCTGTGCACAGCTGTCAGTGATAGTGCAGCATGTGTGGATACATATGCTTACAAGAAAGGTCTAAAATAATTTTATAATGCCTGTAATGATAATAACAGAAAGTAGTTACTCAGGAAATTATTTGCAAAAGGTCACCATGCTACAAAGGGTTTGAGAACTGAGATAACAGATACCTTATATTATCAGCATATTTTATGTCTGTTGTTTATACCTCATTATCAATATTTGTGTCAGTTGTTTATACCAATCATTATCACAGGCTTTATTTCCATTTAAGTTTACTGTATGGCTTGGGACTCCACACCATTTTTTTCTGGCCCCAAAGGGCAACAAGAAAAAAACAAATGCTGGCAAGAAACTCTACAAAACATCTCCATTAAAATGGACCTTAACAGCTAATAACTCGCAGAATACACCCATCCTCTGCATGAAACAGTTTAAGAAACAAGAATTTAATTGCTAATCTTGGCATAAAAACAGAGTATTATGAAAATATATATGACTAAAAAAATCCCTAATTTACGAATTTAATGAACTGGGAAGTTTCAGAAATATTTGGAAGAAAAATTTACAAGAAAGCTTGCATTCTAGAGACAAACTGATAAATACAGAGAGTGGTACCAACTGCCTATCAGTGTCTGCACAACAAGAGCATATCCAACATGGGGTCCTACACTAGCAGATACTTCCACACCAAAAAACAATTCCAGGAAGCTGAATCTTGAGAAATTTAAACTGGATGCACATGACAAAAATAAAACATTGTGAATAACTAATTATTAGGGACAACTTTTCTAGAGGTGTAAGAGACATTCCATCATGATATCCAATTCTTAAAATGACTAGCTGAAAGAAGAGATATAAGACTTTTTAATGAAGGAAAAGACAGAACTTGGTATCTGTTGGCTTGTTGAAAAAAATTAACTCAGAATTTCAACAGGGGGAAAAAAAAAAGCCAAGTCGTTGGGAAATTTCTAATTGTAGCTGAAAAGTTTATCACCTCAGAGAACCCAGAATTTTTCCAAACCCAGAAACATTTAAATGGAATAAGGTCCATACTACTTTAGTGTTGCTGCCTTTGCTGATTCTTACTCTGCCTCAGAGCTTCATCTCATGATAAATTGTGGCAGCTCATTGTGAGTGCTTACAATGTTTCAAGGTGTATACAGTCCCATCCATAAAGAATGTGTGAGAAGTCTTTCAGTCTACAAAAATAAGCATGCTAGGTGCAGTATCTAATCAAAATTTAAGTACTCAACTACATTTTAAAGCTTTTAGTCAGAGCTTCACTTCAAGGACATGTAAATTGAGGGAAAAATAGTTTATTTTGTTCAAAGTATCACAGTATCTAGCCCTAATACTTATGAGTAAAATTTTGCAAGCTATAATAAATTTCTTATTGGATTTGGATCACATAATTTGTACCATTAACTAATATATCTAATATGCTTCTAATTACCGTTAATCCAAATGTGCTGAAAGTATACATAGATAGATAGCATATATAGATATGAATCAGCACCTAAACTGATAATGAATTCTCTGCTACATAAGCATATAAAGGAACAGGAAAGTTGAGTTCAGAAAATACAAAAAAAGTCAGATATTAATAAAATTTGTCACATATAAGTCAAAACAAAGGCTGTATCTGAAATACTAAATCCCTGAAATACTGTATGTGTTACTTCGCTCTAAACAGGTACTTGAAAATAGCAGGTTTAACTACCTGAAGTTGTAAATTGCAACAGCTGGAAACATTTACACTTTTTAATATCTTCTTCAGTAACAAAGTTAAATTATTCTTGCAGCTGTTCAAGACAATTATTTTGCAATAGCTTGTTCCTTGTATCCTGCATACCATGAGAGAATGCAAGAGCAAGGCTGGAGGAGGATTTTACAAATTATTTCAAAATAACTTTTTTTAAATTAACCTTTACAGCCTTTGCATAAATTTTCTCAAGACTTCT